CAAAACTATCGCATCACCCAGGCATGTCAGCTTCTCTACAATCCAGATTTGGTCGCTTGTGACACTTGTTTTTTCTCAAAGCTAAAATTAAAATTGAAACTATGAACAAGATTAAAGAGAATGTGATGAGGCAGCTGATGGTAATCCTGAAAGAGGACTTTGCAGATAGTTGTGAAAAATGAAATGGACTTTGGGTTAATCATGAGAGGGTCACAAGAAGAAAGGGTCACTAAAACACTATTGCCCTAGGTAGGCTTCTTGCACAAAATAAAAGCTACTTCCTTACCAATCCTTGATTTCCTTTTTATATTATTGAGTGTTTTTCTTTTGATAGACAATTCTTATTTTTGCTCTAAAACCTTACCTATATCCTGCACTCTCAGAATAGAATCTCTGATCTTTTTCCTCCAAATCTAAGTACTAATATGCAACTTGATCAGTTGCAACCAAACAGTACATAATTACTAAAATACAAGGTTTGTAAATGTCAGATTGGCTTCAAAGCCAAACTGTCCAAAAAAAAAAAAAAAAAAAGATGATAATTATTTTAAAAAATCTCAAGTTTTATATAAAATGATCTTTGTAGATGATTAGGGCATTTTCAACTTTTCACACTGCTATACATTTTTTTTTATGATTTGGGAATAAAATTCTGTTTATTTTTTTTACAGTTTTAATTTATGGAGCTTTTCTCATAATCCAAGATGAACTGATAATTTGAATACAAATTCTCCTTCAAGATTTGTGTTTTATAGAAAATAAATCAGCCTAAAAATTTGTCAGGAAAAACTTTATTTACTGACCAGTCAATATAAACATCTATTGCCAAGTACAAACTTGAAATGTTTATGTTTGTAGCTTTTATAACAACTGAAAAAAGATGAAATTACTAAACTTTACTTTTGCAAGTGAAAGATAAATTACAGTGTGAGAAGTTTCTTGGTTAAATTTAAAATTTTAAAATCTTTTTTTATTCAACTTTTATAAATGCAACTTTATATTTTACCCGGAATTTCTTAATGTATATTTAATAGTAAAAGCCTTACAGCTCGAATTAAAAGAGTAGTTTTGAGATTTTATTTCTCACGCACACTCTGTATGTGTTTAAAAAATTAATTTATATATGTTTGGGCTTATTTTTTTCAAATGTCTGGATTGATATTGAAAATTAATTTTGATTTATGCATTACTCAATAGTTATAACATTAAGTCAGTCTGTTTATTTTCTCAAAACCAAAAACCTGACTCTCGAATCTTTAATAAATAAAACTTGGAAGGATTTGGCTGACTTTCGCAATATCAGCAAACATAACCAAGCCCAGTATATCCCAAATTAGCCTCCTTCTTATTTATTGCTATAGAAACAGTAACGGGCTATGATCCTAGGTGATTTTCTGCAAAACTGCACATTGTAAAAGAATGTATTTGCCACAAAATAAGAAAATTACTTGGAAAAGCAAAAACAGCTATATATATATATATATATATATATATATATATAATGGCCAGCTACACACCCTATTTCAGACACGCCCATCTGCTAGGGCATTCAACCAATCCCTGTTGCAGACACCAACACAGACACATTTCTTTTGCTCAACATCCACAGAGCCCCTAGGTGGTTTATATTGCAACTATGCTAAGTGGACCTTACATATAGTTTCTAGAGGGAGCGCATCATCTGGCATGATCAACTGTTTGAACAAGTCCAATACACTGAAGTCCTCAATCATGACGACTTGAGACTTTTGTGCTAGAAAAACCATCAATGTCTTTCTAACAGTTCTACTCAATTATACACATGGGATTCAAACCCAAGCCGCATGTCAGAAAGACATATATATATATATATATATATATATATATATATATATTTGCATTCCAGGGTCAAATACTTTTTTTCTTCAGTTATTTGTGTATGTCCAATTTTTTAAGTAGCATGTTCTTCTTATGAAGGAAGAGATGTAAATTAGTAGAAGAGGGTCTCTTAATTAGTTTCATCAGTTTGTCTGAAATTCTGATATGAAGTATTATCAACTTCTGATATAATGAAAACAACAAAATAGACAAACAGAAATATTCTAACATAAATAAAAAAAAAAAAAAAAAGTTCCCCCAAGAACAATTGACTATAAGGTACAAGCCACACATTTGAGTAAAAGTGGTATGGACTTTTGCTGCAACCATTTGGGAGTAGTGTCCTTTTTAGAATCACTGTATCCAAGGAGATAGTGGAAACTAGGTGTAATCAAAAGTAATTTACATTTTTTGTTATTGGTCTAATGGCCTCATTTTTTTTTTTTTGTTACTATCACAACATTTATTCTTCAGCTCTTCTCAGGTTAAGTCGATCCAGATAACATTTTGTGAATTTCAAACTTTATTTCTGGGGCTAGATCATTCTCATTCGACTGTCCATGTCTGAGAATAATCTCGTTTTAATTAATTATCCTTTTAGCACTGCTCAGTTATGACTAATCTTGTTTCTATTAAGTTTGGCTATATCTGTACTACTCTGCCCAGGGATTGAACTCACAATTACTATGTCACCAAATTCACTAACCAACAATTTAATCCTCTTGGTTATTGTCCCATGAGACAATCCTGTAGCTAGAAATTAGATGTTAAACTTAATTATTCTTATTGCTGCCCCCTGGTGGCGCTGCTGCTGTAGCCTTGTTGTCAGACTTTGTTCTCTGAATTTGTTCTCTTTGCTAACATTTCTTCTTTTTCTTTTTGTCATCTTTTGCCCTTGCAGCCTTTTTGCTATGGCTTAGTGTTCTTTCTTAATTGTTATATCTATGCTAGGCCTACTGTGTAATAATAAATTTCAAACATCCATGTAGACCATGGTTTAAATAGCCAGAACACCTCTCATACATACATATGTTTTGTGGCAAATGAAGCTAAATTTACTAAACACACATATGTATACATATTTTGAATCTCAATTTGTCAACTTATATGATAAATAGATTTGATGGTGAAACCAGTTCACCATCAGATCTCCTGAAGAGTGGATGTGATCACATGAAACGCAATCAAATATTCAACAGCTAAGTGAATAAATTTAATGTTTATTATTAATGCTCTATCTCTTGATATTGTGCATTTTATTTACTAAGATTTTGTTTGCTTTAAATATATTATTTTACAGAAATGCCATGGTTGTTTTTGATAAAATACCATCTCTGTTTTTATATATATATATATATATATGTGTGTGTGCGTGTGAGCATGTATATGCATACATCCATGTCTGCTGTTTGATATATATATATATATATATATATATATATATATACATATACACACACGCACACACACACACACACATACACCTATGTCTGGTGTTTGAAATATATATAATATCTGTAATAATGACCTTCCTGCAGTCACAGTTTCTACCAAGATTGCTTCATCAAGCAGCAAGTCTCATCTTGGTAGAAATTGTGATTGCAGGGAGGTCAGTGTTTTGGCTATTTTATATCTTAACTTGATCTATATTTTCATTTTATGAAAATTGTATTGAGCACTCTTTTAAATTAGTTATTATTTTGTGGCAAATATCACTTTTACCAAAGACTGAATTTATATATATATATATATATATATATATATATATATACACACACACACACACACACACACACACACACACACACACACACACAGAGGCAAAATGAAATTGTGACCTCAAAGGACAAAGGCATTTGTAACCTGGGTACAGTATAGACATGCTAGTGGGTAGTAAATATTCTGATAAAATTTTGCAAGTATTTGGTCATCTTCTGACATATTAACACTCATATTAGTACACAGCATCTGATGCCTGCTGTGATAAGTTTCAGTGTTTGGGGGGAAAGTCCGTTACAAGTAGGTGTGTCCAACCACTTTTTATTTATTTTGAAGTTGGATTATGAGCCTTTCGATACTTGCAAACAAATGTAACTTTGGGTGTGTCAGCACAGACTGTTGGGAATTCTTTACTTGCAGTATAACTATAGACACACACACACACACACACACGCACATTTCTTGCTCAACAGCCACTTACACCACAACCCCCCTCTATGCCCCTCTCAAGTGGTGTTAAGGTGAATTGAATGGTGCACTGTAGTGTTCATTGACAAGAGTAGAGATGGTCATTTACATGTGTGACATAATACTTGAGGAGTGACATCTTCCAGAATGTATTCACCTTTGACCCACACCATAACATTGTGATATGGGTGGCCATAACTTACAACTCTCGGTTATCTCTGGAGTTTGTGGAGGAGATGTTGAACTGGTTTTACTATCATTCCTACAACAAGAATGTGAATTGCTGTTCCTGTAGGATAATGGCTGCTAACATGATACCCATGTTACTCAACAGGCTCAAAAACAAGTTTGTCAAACAAGAGCCAATTAGTTAAACAAACAAGCACCACCAACCAAACAAACACCCACCCACCCAACCAATGTTATCCATGAGAGATATGTTCCAATACCCTGAACAGATATCTAAGACCACTAACAGAACCAGAACCTTATGAGGGGGTGCTGAAAATTTCCCAAAAGTTCATTTTTTATGGCTTCCTTTTAAGCACTTTCATGTTTTCTTTTTTTCTTTTTTAATATATAGGATAGAGCCTAATTAATTTTTTTAATACCTAAGATAAAGCCTAATTAATTTTTTAATACTTCGTTAAAGCCTAATCAATTTTTTAATAGCTAAAATAAAACCTTTAATTAATTTTTTTAATATCTTTTCTAATAAAATCTTTTGCAAGTGATAAAATGACTTTTGATCAAAACAGGGAATCTAGTGGACAACAATTATTGACCTTCATTTTGAACTGCAGCTTTGCTTTAGAATGACTATACAGCTTACCATCCCACAAAATTCGAGCATTTTTTATTCTCAAATGTCTTCCTGGGAATCTTACTTACAAGTTCATCTTGTAGATTTTTAAGTTAATCTTTCAAAATATTCCCAGAATGTGTTACCTTTAGAAATGTCTCTATCTCCCTTTCCCTCTCTATTACTGTCTATGTATCTTGTTCTCTCTCCCTTTCCCTCTCTATTACTGTCTATGTATCTTGTTCTCTCTCCCTTTCCCTCTCTATTACTGTCTCTGTATCTTGTTCTCTCTCCCTTTCCCTCTCTATTACTGTCTATGTATCTTGTTCTCTCTCCCTTTCTCTTTCTATTACTGCCTATGTATCTTGTTCTCTCTCCCTTTCTCTCTTTATTGCTATGTATCTCTCTCTCCCCCTTTCCCTCTCTATTACTCTCTATGTATTTTTCTCTTCCTTTCTTTCTCTATTACTCTCTATGTATCTCTCTTCCTCTCTGTATTGCTCTATATGTATCTCTCTCTCTCCCTTTCCCTCTCTACTGCTGTCTGTGTATCACTCTCTTTCCTTTTCCCCTCTCTATTGCTGTCTATGTATCTCTCCCCTCCTTCTCTCTCTCTCTCTTGCAGGTAAAACTTCCATGGTTCCCCTTTCCTTTTTTATTTTGTTTCAGTGAGTGGGTTTTGAGCTAAAAACCCTGCCAAAATCTCATTTTACTTGGAATGCATTAAACTAGGATTAAGTTTCCACCTGTCCACTACCATTCCCACTCCCCCAGGTGAAGAAGATACTGACATTGTACCAAGCCCACACCCCACCCTTGCTCTTCTAAATTAAGTGGACTGACTGATTTCACCAAATTCTTCCTCCCCCTGTCATACTTTCATGAGATGGACTTGTTCAACAAATGTTTGGGACAGGAAGATGAGGTAGGGAGGGGGAGTTGTTTTCCTCCTTGTCATGTCACTACGTTCCTAACTATTTTTAGTTTTTGTAAAGATATTTTAAGGACATAGACATTTGCTTTCTATTTAGGAAACTGTTTTGCATAACCTAAGTTCCTTGAATCTTTGGGTTGCATCCTGTATAAAGTTCCTTTTTCAATGTTGCTCTCTTCATTTGTAAATTAACGTCCAGTAGTGTAGTCAGCTCTTATCCCTGCGGAATATGTTCAAAGGACCCCATCCAACATTGGATGACTGAATCTGCTAATAGTTGATTAGTACTGAATCCTATAAATGCAGTTTTACCTATTCTTACCTAATTTGATTTGGTTTAACTATTACACCCTTTCTATTACCAACTTATCCATTTTACATTAAAGACTATCTATTTGCTTTTTTGACAGAATATATACTGCAAAGGTCATTTTACTATTTTATCCATATATTGCTTTACATCTTAATTGGTTGTCAAAAATTATTGATGTTTTACAAATTGAAATTTAGTTGCCTGATGTCATCAGTAATTATTTGCTGAATTATTCAGCTGAGTATCTTCATTTTGATTATTTTGATCAAATTTCAGGCAGTGAGTTTTAGGGCCTTCCTTACATTTATGTTAAATCTTTAAATCTGGTTATTGAGTGCCATCCCCAATCTCTACAATCTGAATTTCTTTATTGGTCAAATGACAAAGAAATGACACGCAAACACTTTGAAGAAGTTGAGTTTAAAGGCTGTGGGAAAATCAGAGAGCATTCCAACCAAAATGTGATCAAAACAACAAAAGTAAAGATATGCAGAAAAACAAAAAAAACTTTAAAAAAATGTTTTTGTTTGTTACCCAGACAACAATTATATTTTACCTAAAATATCTGCCTTTATTCTAGTAGCAAATATTTTGTTGTCCAATATAATCAAATTTTAAAATTCTTTCTTTATTATGTATTTTTAACCTCACTTATGCAGTGTATATAGCCAAGCGTTTATTGACAAGGAAAATGTAATTGGAATGATAAATTTAAATTCCAGCTGAATTATTATTTTTTTTAATCAATTCACCCCAAGGAAGGCAATAATGCCACTAAGATGCTAGTGGCTACCTGGAGTGAAAGAGAATGAGAAGACTTTAGAAGGAACCGGAAACCAATCATAAAAAGAAAACAAAGGATGAACATTTACTCCTGTTCAAAAAAAAGGGAGGGATGTGAACTGAACAATAGGCAAACCTATCTACTCCTGTTGAGGAAAAAAATAATAAATAAACAGTAAATAAAGTTTCAGAGTTTAGGTGGAAACGTTAGAAGTATAAAGTTGATATAGACTTTAGAAGGAACCAGAAACCCAATTCTAAATAGGAAACAAAGGATAAACCTCTACTCCTGTTCAAAAGACATGGGAAGGTGTGTGAATCAGAATTCAGACAAATTCAGTTTTGCACTAATACCATTGGGAAAGATATCAATATCTTCCCTCCAGCTAAATAACAGCATAGACTTGGTTGGCAACCAGTCTACAAGAAGGACAACACTGAATTTAAAATGACTTAGCCATGATGCCAACAATTCCATCTCATAAAAATCTATTTGATACAGATGCCATAGAAACAACACTTAGGTTAGTGAGACTGAGGGCCTCGACACCACGAGGTGGGGGAAGTAGGATAAATTTTAGATTTCTGATTAGGCAAAAGAAAATGTCAATGATATCTTTCATTATAGCAATTTCTTATTACAAGTTTCTTATCATCATTATTTTTTAATAGTCATAAATTTAAAGGCTACAGTAGATAAGCAATCAGTTAGAATCAAGCTCATTAAACCAGTGGCTTTGGTCTTCAAAAACACTACAGTAGGTACAAAAACAAAACTCGTAACAATCAAATTTGCATTAGTAAGACTTTCTTAAAAATTATCACAATGTATTGTCTTCCCCAGATGTTTCTTGACCAATTTGGTCATCAAAAACCGTTCCTTCCTTTATAAAGATGAAGGATCTGATTTTAAAACTTTTAACCATTTCAAAATAAAATTAAGGACTTCAATAACATTTAATTGTATTTTTATATATATATATATATATATATATATATATATATATATATATATATATATATATATATATAAATAAATGTTTCTCATGATCTGAATTTTTTACCCTAATCAAGCTGCATTAATTATTCTCTTCTAACAAGCACCGTTTTGTTTACTCTTAATTCTTTTGAACTTGATAGATTTGATGTGACAACAATAATTAAAATCCTTGAAGTTGTTCTCTGGAGGAGAAAAAAATCAACTAAAATAAATGAATAGTTAATATAATAATTCCAACTGTTCATCTTTCAAGAATTGTTAGTCATTTATTTTCCTCTATCATTAAATGCTTTATTTTATAACCCATTGACAAAAAAGAAATATCAATATTTTTAAATCACAGTTTAATACAAAATGTCCACTGGGCACTTATTAATAACAGTTTCAGAAATTCTTCTCTAAAAATGGTGGCCCATGTTCTTGTAATCTTTTTATGTTACATAATAGGAGGGATAGTATAAATATAGACGTTAGGTTTAACTTCCTACTAAGTTATTTTCATTTAAAAGATGAATATGTGAGAAGAACACAATGGTTTTAATGCACCTCTTAAACTTAGCAATATAATCTATTCAGCAGCATGGCTTCACTAGAGATGATCATATCAGCAGGAATTTAAAAAATGAATCAGTGTTACACGTAGTCAAATGAGAGAAGAGCACATAATCTGATGACATGATTTGAATTACTGTCAAGATTATATGACTATCAAAGTGCAAAGGAATAATCAGATAGTGAACAAGTGAAAGTAGAGAAAAACATTCAATGACATGAGGTTAGTTTTTTTAATTGCCTCTATATGAATAAAAAAAAATGAAACTATATTTTATTTACAGATGAGCTTCACATGAATACAAGGTAGATAGGGGCAAAAGTGGGCTTGTCTTATGCAGCACTGCTATATATGCTACAACACTCAAATGAACCTTCCTTCTAGTGCAATGGAGTGGTCCTGCCCCAGAGTTAGAATCTCTAGGGATTAACTATATTTACATTTGTTCTCCTGTCTTCCCCAAACACGCATCTGATCATAGCTGCACAGGCTGCAAATAAACAGTAAAGAAAATCTACATTGTATTTACTATTGATTTCACAAAAATTAGTTTATTCTGAATTTGAATATTTTAGAAACAATTTTGCTTTCTAAACAATCTCGAAGTTCTAATTTGATAAACTGTTGGCTTTTTATTCATTCCTGCTGTTCATGCAACGTGAAACCATATAGACTGTGTGAATTAAATAAATGACTCCAACACTGTGTGTGGAGAGAGAATTTATTTAGCAACCTTCCAACACCATGTGGTGGTAACCAACTGTCCCTACCCCTGTGTTCCCGCCTCAATCATACTTCACTCATGGAGAAGGTACAAGGGGAACAACTTCACATTGATTAACAATTCTTCCCTTTTTTTTTTTCTTTTTTTCTTTCAGATGACCATCTGAAAAAGAGATTAAAAAATTTGAATTTATTAAACAGATGATTCCTTGGGCTCTGATATAAAGCCAAGGATTTTAAATGATGGTACTCCTTTCTTTGTCAAGAAGTCTGCAACTTATTCATCTGTTGGTATCCAAGAGAACTCTGCAATTTCCTTTCTGTCCAACATTTCTCTCAAAATGGCCATCTCAATGTGAAGTCTCTTGTCCAAAATCTGTGTTGATGAATGTACTGAGTCATAGAAACAGGAATTGTCAGTTTTGCATATGATCTTAATGTTCTCAGTTTCATCTTTTAGTTGCAGTAATTCCAATAATAGTTTTCTGTAAAACAGGCAGGCTTCTGACATGTCAACCATGGCTAGAGTTTCAGCAGCCAGTGTACTTTTGACCACCCTTCTAATGCGCTTGGATTGCCATGCAATGGGCATATATTTATTATTTCCTACCAAAAAGAGTATATAGCCTCCTTGTGATCCGCCATCTGTCAAATTAGCGAAAGAAGCATCACTATATGCAACAATTTTTAAATGCTTAAAGTTTCCTAAGTCCGGGATGTCTATCTGTGATTTTTCCTTTTTTGCTTTCTTAACTACTCTATTGGTTTGTTTTATACATTCTACGTTTTATTGTTTTAGAATGGAGCTTAGTGCACTAACATCATAACTTAGATCAGGTCTGGTTTGGGTGGCCAGCCAGTTAAGTTGACCAATTGTGTCTTTAAGGTTCCTGCCTGCTTCTACCAGAATATATTTTAATTTCTTTACATACTCGTTTTGTCCAAGTTTGATATTCTCATTATTCTTTTTTATATCTAACCCTATGTATTGGAACTCAGCAGTTTCTTCAGTTTTAACTGCAATTACATGATGAAGCCTGTCTATAAGTCTGCTTTGAAAGATCTCTGACCCTGCAAAGCAAAAATCATCAACATGAGCAGCAATTATACCTTGCAGGTTGTTTCCAAAATGCCATGTAAATATTGCTTGATCATATTTTGAAGCTATTACTCTTGATTTCATTAATTCTTCCTTGAAGGATCTAGAAGCATCAGTCAAGCCATATACACATTTTGAGAGTTTCCAGATATGGCCCTGAGGTACATTGGCTTCTTTAGGAGGATCCAGATAAACCAGTCGATCCAACTGCTTGCTCTGCAGGAATGCTGTCATTATGTCCATTGATTTACACATCCACTGGT